CACACACACACACACACACACACACACACACACACACACACACAAAGGGGGTCCGAAAGGGGGTCTGAAATCCCCCGGCAGGTGAGTGCGCTGGGAGGGCCCGGCCCCCAACCGGGTGCCCTGCCCGGCCAGGCCGCCCAGGACCTCCCCCGGACCCCTGCCTGTCACCCGGGCGGCCCGGATCCCCACTCAGGATAATATACAGTTGGAGAGTTCAAGCGTCTAGCGGCAACTGCCGCGACTTAACAGTGCAATCCCGCTCAGGTAGGTGTCCGACTCCCGTCTCTCTTTCCTCTGGCCTCTCTCTCTCCCTCCCTGTCTCTTCAGCCTCTCTGTCTCACTGCTCTCAGTTCAATCCCTCTCTGTCTCTCGCCTAGGATCAAACCTGAATACAACTGCGGTGTATCTCTTCGCCCTGGGCGGCTATGGCCACCATCTTCTCTTCCTTACTACTCTAGCTATGGCTGACTCTCGTAGCCAGGGCGCTTGCTCCTCCCCCGGCGCTTGGTCCTTCGTCCAGGTCGCACTATCGCACAAGCAGCTAGCAGCGCTTCTACAACTTTGAGAATGAACATCTGCCTTGGCTTGGCACTGTAGCAGCTAAATATAGTTGCAGTTGACTGTTTGTGCCTGATTCGGACCGGTACGGGTCGGCCGCGGCCTCGGCCTTGCCAAAGTTGGTGTTTCTGGAAGTCTCCGGACTTTTCTTGGGATGCTGCTGCAAATTTGGACTTGGGACTGGACTTCCTCTATTGAGTCTATTGGTACCAGCAGACCTTACCGGACTGCGACGCTTCGGTACCCTACTTCTACCAACCTGCGACGCTTCAGTCTACGGATCCTAAGACCTATCCTACCGGGACAGCCTGGGACCTTGGGACCCGGTCTTCTGGTGTCTAACTGTGTGAAATCCTTTCATTTTGATAAAACAGAGCCTTATGGTCCTGGCTCCATATCCATTTTGGGGAGCATCAGTGCAGTTCCTACTCCGCCGGCAAGTCGATATAAATTTTATAAAAGTAATACAACATATACCCACTCACGCCTCTTTCCGTACGGCCGAAGGATCCCTGAACAGCATTGATTGCTCCTGTTGGTGGAGGATTGACTGTCAGCTTGCGCTTCCCTGTAATTCCTGTCTGAGCATTGATTGCTCCTGTTGGTGGAGGATTGACTGTCAGCTTGCGCTCCCATCGTATAAAACATGAATGCTAGAAAAACAGAGGAAAAAAAACTGCAAACGCTTCCTCTTCCTTGATCCGGCAGTAGACAGGCATTTCCTCTGAGCTTGTAGCCAAACTATGTTGCGCTTCTTAAGTATGGTGGTTCTGGATGGTGAGTGCCCTTTGGTCCCTGAGAAGAGGTGGAGTTGTGCCAGTCTTTCCATGTGAGATGGAGTCCATGAATGTCGGCTATCTTTCCTCCAGCCAGCAAGATTCTCGTAAATTTGGCCAGGAGTTCTTGCTGGTTGTCCGGAATGTTCTGAATTTGGATCTTGACTTTCTTCCACTGACAGAGAATTTCTGCCTCCATTAGTGATTTGGTCGTGGCCCACCCTTTCACACTCAGAGTACAGGAGTTATCCAATGTTTTGCTGCATCTTCCATTCCATATTACCTAGAGTGTCACCTTACGAATTATTCCAAACCAGATGCGTTCCAATTTCCAAGAGTGAGTAGGGATGTTAGTCCATCGGAGTAATTTGGTTGTTCAGGCAAGGACGAGGATAATAGATGGTCCCAGAGGACGGATTCTCTAGCCCAGTAGTCTGTGGCCCCCTTACATGTGATCAGGCAGTGTATGATATCCTCATGTTCGTTGTCTGAGCACACTAAACACAGATTTGAGCTGCTTGGATCATTTTCCCTTCTTCTGATGTGTAGCCAGCTGTTCACTGGGAGTGCAGTATAGGTAATGAGCCATTGGAGACTTCTGATTTTAACTGGGCATATGGAGTGGTATTTTCCTGATGGTATCTTGGTGATTTCATCCACTTCCGGGCCTATTAATTTGTTCCATCTGTCTTTGATTACTGGCTCGGGGTCCTTTTTCCTTAGCAGCATTCTGTAACCCATTTTGACAGTATAGTCTGTTACGTGGATGCTTGTTTTGTACGTTCTGTCCTTACCAGAGGGCCAGGCCCATTCATATGGGTCGAAACTGTAGTGTGTTCTTGGAGTGTGATGTCCATTTGAAAATTCGTCTTTTGGCCGGAAGCCCAAGACTCTGGTTTTACGGAGTGTAAATGAATTGAGACTTGATGATACATGTGCGAGGCCACTGCCTCTATGAGCCCCATAAGGCCCCATTTTGCAGCCCTTCGGCCGCCCTTAAGTGAAGCAGGCTCGACGAGGCCCTCAGGGCCCTAATCTGGCCACCACGCAACTCAGGGAAATTCAGGCAGTTGCGCAGCGCCAGTTGGTTGAGTGAACCCAGGCCCTGGGCCGCCTGTGTGAATGTATGTTAAGCAGGCCCTGGACTGGATACGAGTACTGGGCCAAACACAGGCTAAAGGCAGTTGGGCACATGCAACCACCTCAGGCCCAAGGCCTGTTCTCGTGGTGCTGGGCCTCAGGCTACCGGGGCCTACTGGAAGCTTCCTGGGACTGGACGCAGGCAGGCCACTTCGATATAGCAAAAGGCCTGCCTCCGCATTCGGCATTCAGGTGCTGGCTGCATGCTGCGCAAGCTGCTGGCTGGCGCCCACGCGCTCACGGGCGAGCAGGGAAGAAGCACGCAGCCATAACCGCGCTGTGCCGCTGTAAGCTGGGTGAGGCGCAGGGTGGTCCTTGGGTGCTAGTGGCATCTGTGTTGGGGAACGAGGTTGTGAGTGTGGCGAGAGACATACCTGGTGCTGGAAGCGTGCGACATTGGTCGCTGTATGCTCGTACTTCGGGGAAGCTGTTGACGTCATCTTCCGGCATCGTAGTGTAGGCTAGATAGGATCTGCCACATGTAGTCTGGGCGTCGAGCGCCAGATAGGATATCAACTCTGGTTCTCCGTTGATGATGATGGGACTATTTCAGCATTGTCAATTATGAACTCTTGGTGTGTTCTTATTTGGTGAATCTCGTGATGCAATTCTGCTGTTGGTTCGAGGTCACGACTATCTGGACTCATATGTATGATGCTGTTTGATTGCTGAAGTTCGCTATTGCTCATCTTCCTTGCAATTTGGTATTGGAGCTATGGTACGAATGCGCTCATCTGGCGCTTTTCTTCTGCCTGGTACGGTACATACATGCGGTCTGCTTGGCGAGTTTGGCCGTAAGTGGTGTGTAGTGAGGAGGGCGGAGGCGAGTGAGTGGCGACCCAGGAGGTGAGGGGATCGCCAGGAAGGCTATGAATGTGTAATGTGGTCTGGACAGTGTGATGAGAACTATCTAATGTGCGATTGATGCTGAGGTGGAACGGCGAGATAATGCTGGTTGTGCCAGTGCAGTGACTGGTCATCGCAATTGCCATTTGCTCATCTGGTGAGATTATCTCTGTGGTTGGGGGCAGCTATTTGAGGTACGTTGCTCTTAACCTTATCTACCCTCTCCGAGACTTCTTACCGTGAGGTTGTGTGTTCCTTCTTGAGAGTCCTCTCATTGTGAGGTGTCGAGTGCGCTCAACCTTGAGAGTCGGCAATGTTCACGTGGAGCATCTGGGAGAAGATGGGCGGAGCTTTCTGAAGGGCCCTGGACGAAGCACTGGGTCACGGTCACCATGCCAACCCACAGGGAGTAGAGCACGCATGCCTTGCTGCTTGTCCTTTGTTCGGCTGCTGCGCTGCTAGATGGGTACTGATGGGCAGGCCAGCCCTTAAGGGAGACGGGACCGGGCGTCTTTAAATAAGCACCAGAAGGGGAACCATTGGCTGTGATCGCCGTTCGGCTGCGACGTAAAAGAATTCCTGGAGTCACTTGGCGGCGGACGTTAAATTGCCTTTGGATCAGCCAATGGTTGCAAGGCTCGCTGCACGCGAGGATAATCCAGTGCAGGGCTGGCCAGCTCAGCAGGTACTCGGGGCACAGGGGTGGGCCGGACACACACCTTTAGACACGTGACGCTCTCCAGATTGCTCAGGGACGCTGACGTCAAGTGATACTCAGGGAAACTAAGGGAGGGGTAAATTCCAGGTATAAGTTCGAGAAAATTCCATGCTGTCCTATCCACACAAATAATTCTATTTTTATGTTTTGATTAGTTAGGTGTACAACCATTGACATCTGACAGACAACATTAGTTAGAACTGCTTCTTGTTCATGATGCTTCTGTTTGCGGACTAGTCAAACTAAAAATAGTTTTATTTGTAGGAATCTGACTTACCTGTTGACCCGAATGTAAAGTCTTCGAAATAGCCACCAGTTATTTGGTCTGTGCACTACGCTGCGGTAGGCACCTAGAGTGCATTAGCGCAGATTGTGTACAGGGCTGTATCATATGAGTGATGGGGAGGAACACCCACCGGACGACAGGATCTTGCGATCGGCAAGGCGCCAGTTGCCCACTTGGCATTAGGACCAAAGGGCGACAAACATTTGTTCCGCCAACTTAGGGAGAGGCAGCAGCAGCAGCGGAGGGCTAGAGCAGCAGAGGCTAGCAGGGCACTTGTGAGTGAAACCGCAGCTTCAGAAGCCATGGCCACCGTAGCGCAGCAGTCTACTCAGGCCGGTAGTTCAGGGTTTGTTGGGTCAACGGTCGCGCAGACCCAGAGTCAGTCCACTGGCGTCATGGCGAGCCAACCACTAGTGTTAACTCCCGATGAGATCGCCATACAACAAGCAGCATTGCAGGAGGCACGACTACAGAAGGCGTTAGGAGATATAAAAGCGGAGAAAGACAGAATGATTAGAAGAAGAGCCAGGATGCAACGTAGACAAGCGAACGTTAGTGAGTTAGAGGAGATGGACCTGACAAACGTGACTGATGATGTGAGACTCGTACGGTCTGTCCTGCTGAATGTAGTTGAGATGCAGGACCATCAGACAACCATCCTTCAGGACATCCAGCAAAGTTTGGCCCTATTGGTTGGGCGAACCCAGGCAACGTCGCCAATGTTCGGGCCTGGTGCCTGGCCCGTTGTACATCCTCCTCCTTATGTCCCACCGGTGACTGGGGTATCCCCATATGTAGCCCCGTCATCGGTTGCGATCGTTTCCCTGGGCATGCCGCTGTCAGGAGGGGTATCAGCAGGGACTAGTTTGCAGGTTCCTGTTCAGACAGTGTTCACCCAAACTCCGTTGCAGGTTGCGGTCACCACGCAGCCTGCTGTCTCGCAGCCTGTGCAGCCGTAGGGCACACAACCCCAACAGCTAGCACAGCAACCTGTGTCACAGGGTCCACAACCCGGAGTGATGCAGGGACCGGGACAAACACAGTGGGTTCCAAAGACGGCCATCGCCGCTCCGAAACCCTTCACAGGGGACAAGAGGGGCGAATACCTCGACACATGGTTGAGGTCAGTGCTAGTCTATGTCAGGTGCAAACTTACCTTGCCGCACGAAGAAGTGCTTGTGGCTGCTTCCTACCTAGAGGGTAGTGCAACAAGATGGTTGAGCGGTTTAGTGCAGCTCCAGGGGTATGGTCATGGCTTCCGCGCTTGGGCGGTCACCCAGAAATTGGAGGACTTCCTGAAGATGGTGGAGGAAAGGTGGCACGATCCTCAGGAGGCCCAAAGGGCCACTGATGCGATCCTGACATTGCACACACGACAGTTTAAGTTAGTAAGGGAAGCCACCGACGCTATTGAGCGTCTGATCTGTGTCCCTGGGGTGCGCTATGACCCCCAGGTTCTGCTTACCTCCTACCTAAGATGCTTTTCTTTGCCCCTCAGGAACTAGTTGGCAAGTCAGGCCAACATCAATATGCACAAATTTCCTTCGTTCAGCAAGATGGCCCTAGACCTTGAGGCTAAGATAGGGCATGGACAGACACCCACTACGGATGGGAGGAAGAAGACACTGCCTCCCAACTGGAAGGCGAAGGGGCGCTTAATGTTTGTCGATAACGATGGTTCTACTATCGAAATAGACGAACACTTCCAGAAAGGAGTAGGTTCAGAGGCAGGCAGCGTTGAAGCTTCAGAGGGTGGAGTAGTCGCTGCCGTTGCTCAGAAAGGTAAGGCGACCGGTAGACGCCATGGAGGTTCCCGGTCAAGGAGTCAAGTAGACCCAAATGCTCCATGGGAGAAAGCGGGTCTTACTGAGGACGTGTAGAGAGACCGGTACACCCGGCAGGCCTGTATTCGTTGTGGCCAATATGGCCATAACCAGTTCAAGTGCCGCAATAAGAAGGTGACTGATAAGATCCCTCCTACGATGGGGCAGGTGTTGGGATCCTCCCATCCTGTTGGTAGCAACGTGGCTAGTTCTTCTGGCACTGCTCCGGGAAACACGTCGGGCCAGTAGGAATAGTTGTTGTTCTTGCTAGGGTCGAGGTGGTGGAGACACCCTCACCATTTCGAGAGATGGCCCAAGCTACTGACTCCGGCGTCGTCCCGCAAACACGTTCAGACCCATCGAGCCTCTGTTCGATGAATGTGTTTGAGTCCTTAGAGGAGCTAGAGGTGGAGTGGTCTAGATCAGACCCGCTAGCTTCTTGGACGGCACTAGTCAAAGCCCCGAAGGGTGAGATGTTCGTCAGCGAGGTAGTCATTGGCGGCCGCGAGGCCGAGGCCTATTATGACACTTGCTCGACAAGGAACTTTATTAGTCGCGCGTGCGTTGAGAGGCTTCCCGTACGCGGGAGGGGAATTGAGACATCGCGTCTCGTTCCTAGTGAGTGACGAGCTCCCAATGGATATGTTACTAGGAATGTACTACCTCTCTGTGGCTCAGCCCCAGTTTGACTGGGACCGAAAAGTGGTCAAACACACTTTGCCAGGTGGAGGGACCGCCATATTACATAAGTTCAAAGCTAGTAGTCTGATTGAGTCCTACGGGTGCATGTGTGCGGCTGCGTTCTACAATTATTATAAGCAAAATCAGGAGGAGGGTATGTACCTAGTTTATGTATCTGTTGCAGGCGAGCCGGTGAAAATGTCGTCGAAGATAGAGGGAGTAGTTGCCAAATACCCTGATCTATTTGAAGAGCCGACAGGGGTTGTAGAGAGGGAGGTCGTCCACGCGATAGAGATTATCCCAAGGTCTAGCATCCCGAAGGGTAGGATCTATCGGATGTCTCCAGGCGAGCTTGATGAGCTTCGCCGACAACTCAAGGAACTCATAGAGAAGGGTTGGTTTCGGCCGAGTGTCTCTCCTTGTGGATCTCCAGTACTATTCGTACCTTAAGAGGAAGGAGGGTACACTTAGGATGTGCATTGACTATAGGGGCCTCAATGCCATCATTGTAAAGAACAGGGAGCCCCTACCGCGCATCCATGATCTATTAGATAGAGTGCAAGGGTGTTGGTACTTCAGTAAGATAGATCTGAAGTCCGGGTACCATCAGGTTGCAATCCGGCCTGACGATCAACACAAAACCGCATTCCAGACCAGGTACGGTCTGTACGAGTTTGTGGTGATGCCTTTCGGCCTTTGCAACGCTCCTGGCACCTTTCAGCACGCTATGAATCGGATATTCCATGACTACTTGGATAAGTTTGTCATCGTGTACCTCGATGACATACTTATTTTTAGTAAGACTGTCGAGGAGCACGTTGGACATTTGGATAAAGTCCTCAATCTCCTGCGACAGCACAAGTTCAAGATCAACGGTGAGAAGTGCGAGTTTGGCCGCACCCGTGTCTTGTACTTGGGTCATGAGATTTCCGCGGAAGGGTTGAAGCTCGATGACGCGAAGGTGGCCAACATTCGTGATTGGCCATGTCCTCAGTCTGTGACTGAGATGAGATCTTTCTTAGGAATGACAGGCTACTATAGGACTTTCTTTAATAACTATAGCATAGTGGCCGCTCCTTTGATTGATCGGACCCGCCTTGACACCCCATGGGAGTGGACAGATGAGTGCAAGGCTGCCTTCAGACATCTGAAGCATGCGTTGACGCACTACGAGGTCTTGAAACTTCCTGATCCTGATAAGCCGTTTATAGTCACCACGGATGCCAGCCAATATGGCATTGGCGCCRWGCTCGCRCARCARGAGGGGCCAAAGTTGAGGCCTGTAGAGTACATGTCCAAGAAAATGTCGTCTCAGAAGTTGGCTAAGTCCACCTATGAGAAGGAACTCTATGCGGTTTACAAGGCTCTGACCCATTGGAGACACTATACCCTTGGGAGGTTTTTCATCCTCGGGACTGATCATCAGACCCTGAGATGGATGAGAACTCGGCCTGTACTCTCTAACGCCCTCAAGCGTTGGATCGAAGTCATTGAGCAATATGTCTTTGACCCTCAGTATCTGAAAGGGGAGTACAACAAGGTTGCTGATGCCTTGTCTCGTAGACCTGATTTCTCAGGTGCGCTGATTACTGAGTTCGATCTGACGAACAGTGTTACTCAGTCTTTGGTGGAACCCTATCACGAGGACCAGTTCATGTCTGAGATCATACGCAGACTTGAGGCGAAGGACAAGAAGACTTCTCCCGAGTTTGAGTTGGTCAATGGCTTGCTGTTCCTTGAGAAGGAAGGGAATAAACGATTGTGTGTCCCAAATAGCGAGTCTTTGCATAGTTTGTTTTTAGGTGAGTGCCATGATGCCACCGACCATTTTGGGTATGAGAAGACCGCAGCCAATCTGTTGCAGTGGTTTCTGGTGGCCCACATGATGCGAGATGCTCAGTTGTACGTGGAGACTTGTCAAGTCAGTCTAAGGGACAAGCCACGTACTCAGGCTCCTCTTGGGCTTTTGAAGCCCCTTCCGATTCCGGAACGGCCTGGTGAGAGTTTGTCCATGGATTTCATGGATACTCTGATCACCATTAAGAGTGGGATGCGTCACATCTTCGTCATCGTGGATAGATTTAGTAAGTATGCTAGGTTAGTAGCAATGCCGGAAACAACTAAGACGGAGTACGTGATCCGAATGTTCAAGGAGAACTGGGTTAGAGACTTTGGTTTACCGAAGTCTATTGTCAGTGACAGGGATGTCCGGTTTACTACCGAGTTGTGGAAGGCCGCTGTTGCAGAGCAGGGAACCCAGTTGCAAATGACTTCTGGGAATCACCCAGAGGCCAATGGCCAGGCCGAGCAACTGAACCGCGTTGTACAACACCTGTTAAGGCATTACATCAAGCCCAACCAGGTGGATTGGGATGAGAAGCTTTTACTCATCGCCAGTCTGTATAACAATGCGGTGCACAGTGCCACCGGGGTGAGCCCTAACAGTTTGCTACTGACTTTCAAGCCTAGACTACCCTTAGATTTTCTCCTTCCTGAGAATCAGTCGACTGCTGCACCAGGTACGCTAGAGTTTGCTTACCGCTATGAACAGAAGATGCAGCAACCTGTAGAACAGATGCAAAAGGCACAGGCGGCTATGATAGAATCTGCGAACAAACACCGCTGTGAGTCTTCATTTCAGGTTGGGGACAGAGTCTGGGTTAAGTCCTCAGAACTGGGACAGGAGCACGGGATCTCCCGCAAGCTCATGCCACAGTACTTTGGACCTTGGAAAGTTTTAGACATCGTTGGGACAGATCCAGATGGGCCATCCTATGTTATCCGGATCCCTGGTCATCTTCGAACTTACCCTGTCTTTCACGCCTCCAAGCTTGCACCTTTCATGGAAACAGACGAGTTTCCTTCTCGTCGCTCAATGCTGCCCCCAACCATGGACGGAGAAGTGGACATCGATGACATTGTGGATCACAGGGAGCTGCCAGCTCAGAGACCTGCAGGAAGGGGACGTCCTCCGAAATCGAAACTGCAGTACCGCGTTCGGTTCAGACATCATACTGATCCCAAGGAGGACCGTTGGTTCACGAGGGAGAAACTCATGCAGACCGCTCAAGTTGTAGCCCATTATGAGAAATCTCTGCAGAAGGGAAAGTGCCCCATGATTGAAGACTGAGCTTCTCAGAGGACTGTTGAAGCTAAGGAGGAGGGAATGCGAGGCCACTGCCTCTATGAGCCCCATAAGGCCCCATTTTGCAGCCCATCGGCTGCCCTAAGTTAAGGCAGGCTCGACGAGGCCCTCATGGCCCTAATCTGGCCACCACGCAACTCAGGGAAATTCAGGCAGTTGCGCAGCGCCAGTTGGTTGAGTGAACCCAGGCCCGGCCCTGGGCTGGATACGAGTACTGGGCCAAACACAGGCCAAAGGCAGTTGGGCACATGCAACCACCTCAGGCCCAAGGCCTGTTCTCGTCATGCTGGGCCTCAGGCTACCGGGGCCTACTGAAGCTTCCTGGGACTGGATGCAGGCAGGCCACTTCGATATAGCAAAGGGCCTGCCTCCACATTCGGCATTCAGGTGCTGGCTGCATGCTGCACAAGTGCTGCTGCGCTATTTGCTGGTTGGCGCCTACCCGCTCACGGGCGAGCAGGGAAGGAGCACGCAGTCATAGCCGAGCTGCGCTGCTGTAAGCTGGGTGAGGCGCAGGGTGGTCCTTGGGTGCTAGTGGTATCTGTGTTGGGGAACGAGGTTGTGAGTGTGGCGAGAGCGCGCGCGTGTAATAGTGTATACTTCGATGTTCTAGCGGTAGATTCGTTTGTATCGATGGAAGT